CATCAATCTTTTATACTACACGCTAAACTCAATAACTAGAGTTCCGGTTCCTAATTATTCTCAAGTAAATTCATAATTATTTTAGGAGAATCAACCAGCGAAAGTAGTATTGGAGTCAAAAATTAGTGGCGGAACCAAGCACTACAAACTTTATTTTCTCTCAAGCTCTTAAGTTTCCACTTTTTTAAACATTTGACAAGATGTTATAATTGCATTTGTGATGCTTTTCTTTCAATGCACTGAAGTGAAAGTAAAACGGAAATGCCTTATTATGAATCCAGCTACATAAATCTCATCTAGACAGAAAGATCCTTTGGTTGTGGTAGCATTTAACTGGTGTTTTATTATGGACCAATAATTCTCCATCTTGTCACAAAATTAGAAGCACACCAGTTTGAAGTTCTGTTTTATAATCCCTGAATTACTCTACTGATAATTAACTGAAGTTGGAAAGCATAATAACCAGGTTCCAACTGAATAGTTCAACTGGATCTAGAAACTGTAAGACCTAAATAATCCTGCCTTCAGTCTTCACTCTGTTGAAATTTTTTATGAAATAACTAGGAGTTAGTATAGTTGGTATGTGAGTATCAGTGGAACCGAGGACAAAGTTTTATCTGGATGGATTTGGATCACGGTGCTGATATTTATACTTCAAACCAGATTCAGTAACCTTCGCTTACAATGCCTATTGAGCTACTTACTAACTTAATCAGAGGATATGAACGAATCAATGAGGGTTTCTAAAATTTTTGACATAAAATTGTTTAATGGCATCTACGATGGCCACCAGAAACTGATCAATTAAAGTCGTAGATATCAATGACGGAAGACGAAAACAGTTATATGATAACGAATAGAAGTTGTTTCCGTATATCTCGAAGACATTTTTCTTTACCAGGCTTATAATCTACTTTAAACGGTCTCGTTAAAACTATCTTTAAACTATTTAGGATCTAGCGAAATTCAGTGTGCATAAAATCTTTTCACCATTGCTCTTAAAATTTTGTTTAAATATTACAAAATGTATTAGCTTAAAACTACTATTACATTTTTAAGTGTATTTAACAAAAATGAAATTCTTTTCATCACTAAACAATATATAATTTTTCTAAATATTTTACAAAAGGTAAATGCTTTTTTCTTTATACTGTCACTTGAATTGCCCGTAATTTTAATAATAATAAGAAGAAGAAAATTAATTTCATTTATGAAGAATTTATGAAAAAAAATGCATCACATTTAAATTTCACATCTTTTGTTTTCATTGACAATAATCATGATAATAACAATAAAATAATAATAATAATAATAGCAAATAATAGCCATGATAACATAACGTTGAATTAAACAAACTGGAGTGACAATTTCGATTGGTCTAAAATTTACTATAATATTCATTGTCGAAATAATGTAGTCATTACAGGTGAAGATGAACGATGAAGGTAGGTTAAATTGATGTGGAAGTGTCAGTAATGAGTTATGGAGATTGTTGAGTTTTATTGAAACCACTGTTTCAAATCTAGAGGCTCTAGAAAATCGTTTACTCCTGGTATGGGTCTCATCAGTAGTGCTCATTGTCGATCATGGAAGCAGGAATCAAACCTTTGATCTCGCATTCAAACGCCTAATATCTTGAGTGACGGTGTTAATGTCTAACTTCAATCAATCAGCAATATCGCTCGATCTCATCCATTGCCTTAGGTTTTTAACAGCCTTACACTCGACATGCTTGAATCATACTAGTCACGGCTTCTCACTAGATCTCCGGGAATACCCTCACCAAGCTAGTTGGTAGTGAGAATATGATCAAAGAGTTAAATGTCCTGAGTTCGATTCCAGCTTTCGTGACCGTGGATGCGCACGACTGAGTAGTCCCATACAAGGAGAAAACGGTCGGTCAGTGCTTCCAGGTTTCCGATGGTGGTCTAAGACTGATCTGTTAGTGATTTTGATGATGTAGAGATATTTGATTTTCATAAATCTTCCAAACATTAATGTAAATGAAGTGAGGATCGTTCGTTGTGAAAAGATTGTAGCTAGACAAGTAAACCGTCAGATGGTGTCTCAGTGATCTGAGAGTCTGGTATTAGCCATAGGATATAGAAGTTGTGTTTTCGATCCCTGCTAGAGCTGTGCTGCTCAAAACTTCCATGTCAAGGAAAAGAATTGTTAAGTGAGTTTTGATTTTCAGCCCACTTCGCCATTCAACCTGTGAAATTTATTTCACTTATTGAGATAAACTTCAGTTAAGGAAAGATACTTTCAAACATTATGTAATTTGAAACTGTTTTGATTGAGACAATCAATACAATCATTCATTGAAAGCGTTTTTGACCTTGAATAAGGCACAATAATTTTATCGGTAAATTATATTACTGTAAAAAACAGAGACATTTTAAGGATGAGCATCTATTGGCTATTATTTTAAATATTCAAAATAACTGCTTCGGTCAAAAAAAGAGGTGACTACTTAAAAATCAATCCATTTAACTCAATAGTGTTATCTATAGTATATTAACTATGTCTGAGATTTTTGTGAATATTAAAGGACAAAGCCAAGACTTTACATCCTTTACGCAGAACACAATCATGTAGTAAGAAAGTGAGATGATGAACCTTTTGCACTTTGACTGATATTCTTATGAACAAATGATTAGATCAATGAGTTGGTAAATAGATGAATGTTACTAAATACATTATATCCTAAGGACAGTGATGATTCACAATAAATCAGATGTTTTTGTTAAATAAAACATTGTAAACTCAGTGTTTCAAAAAAATGACTATATGGCACAAAGTCATGCTGAATGAAACAAAATTTATAAAATATGTGGCCAGTGGAGTTCAACCCTGTTTGGGTGTGAAAACACTAACATCGTTAGGTACCGACTGAGTGATCCATAGGTTAGGCTTAAGCGAGAAAAACCCAAGGTCCTGGGTTCGAGTCCTGCGAGGTGCAGGAGTCATGGATGCGCTTTACTGAAGTCCTATACCGGGACGAGACAGCCATCTAGTGTTTTCAGGTTTCTAATGGTGGTCTAACATTGATTGATTCATGATTTCAAAAAGTAAATATGTGTGTACCAAGTTTCATAAAAAATAATTGACTATCCAACGATAAGAAATTAATTTTTGGATAAATAATGGGCACTTTGTGTTGCATAAAGAACTTAATTGTTGGAAACAAAAACCTAACAACGCATATGAAAATTTATTCTTATACACAATATGAATGGATGTTCTGTTAAAAAAATTAACATGATTTTTGAAATCAAATGATAAAATACCATCCGTAAGTAGTGAATTTTCACTGTCAGCAACTTATAAACGGAAAACAGTATCAAAACAATTACTATCAATTGAATAGACTCTGTTGGACTACAAAATTTAATCAAGAGAGTTCCGTTTCAGTAATTTTAATAGTAATGGTAAGATAAATAAATAGATAAATTGACAATTCTGAAAGGAACAACAATAGATATAATATTGCTATAATTGAATTTGATCAAACAGGTTTAATACATTGGGAGGTAAAATCTGACCCCAATTGGTCATATGACCACCAGTTCATACTTACTTCACTGAACAAATTAGAAATAGCAAAGCCAAATATAAATATCTTTTTTCTCCACTTATCATCATCTTCCTACTGACTTCAGTTTGTGATGTAGATGAATTCGAATTTCTATAGAACTCTTCAGTTTAAAACGATAATCTAGAAATTTGAAGACAGTTTTCTTGAAAATCCCTGATTCATTCGAATTGGAAAGTTCTTAGAAACATTGAAGGAATATAGAAATGTTTTTTGGTACTTCATATTCATTCATCAACCTAGATGGAAGTAAACACAAGAAGCGCATGATTATTATCGTTAGATTTGACTAATCTATGCATAAAACCGGACTAAGCAGGTTGAAATTTATTTAAGTAGGCGACTACTTTCTAATTAAGTGCATTTTTATTATGTACTATTTTAATAGTGCAATGAAGGTTCAATTCTACCTCAGGTTACACTATATGTAATGGGCTTTGACCAAGTTTGTTACTTTAATTATCATATATATATGACTACAGTGCAATGACTGAACTTAAACAAACACATTACACACAGTACGTAAATTGTCTATACTCATATAGGTGTGTGTGATGTGTTAGTTTGTTCGTTTACTATCTCTGTTTAACAGTTCATATAGGGTCACGTTATTAAACGCTTACTATGTTCTTATTTAATTCAATGAATTTGATATACTCGCTTGAGTGTACATTTGCACATAATTTTGTTGGTTATGCTGTTGGCGAACTTTTTAATCCAATCGTGTTACTGTATTGATTATTCTAAAAACTGAAATATCATACTCTGTAGACTTTGATTAATGTTAACAAACTAAGTTGAATACGTGATTATATGGATTATTTCCTTGAAATAATTCTGGTTAGTTCTAATCATTATTGAATTTGTTAAAGATAAAATGATATATTTAATTGCAACACCCATAAGTTATATTAGTGTGTACTTCTGAAGAATCCTGGAGCATTACGAAACAAATGCCTAGTGCTCTTTCATGTAACTGATTCCCTAGATCGTGTCAGTTTTAGAAGAATGATGCTGACCAAGGGAATCCTATCCAGTTTGACAGGTTCCGCTGCAGTCGTGATGTTTCCATGAGGATCACAATGAGTTTTAAACGGCTTCATAGTTTGAGCTGTAAGAAGCTAATAATGATTTAGGACTTCGTGCTGACTACCTCCAACCTCCTAACATCGAAATATTGCCTAATGAATAGCATTCCACTTAGACTAGTCTCCGCACTACATTTTGATCAGCACTAAACGACGATATAAATATTAAATTGTTCACTCACTACTCATTGGTAAAACTATTGTAAACTACATGTTTAGATTAAGATGAAAGTCAGTTGTCATCAGTAATATTTAACTATATCATAATTTTACTTTGATTGTTTTAGTTGTTTGAGTCTTACCATTGATGTTTACCACTACAACTGATCAGCCTCTTTCGTCATATGTGCTTCCTTTGTAAACTGCCTTACTATTGCAAACAAGTGTCAGGTAATTTTGTTTAAGTAGAGATGTATGAACAAAAACTCTAAATCCGTTTGACGAGTCCCAGATTGAACGAAATGCTCGTCGTGGACTCTAGTGATAGCCACGATTGATAATAATTATACTGACGAAATTTAGTTTGACTGTAACTAACCATTTAACACTTTTATACGATCCTATTCATTTACATTATTTAAAACATTTGTAAATTAAACAAAATAATACTTACATTTAAATATTTTAATTTTATAAATAAACTAGAAACTCAATTGAACTGAATCATATAATAATCTTTGTATATTTACGAAAATTTTGATCCACTACATTTTGAATTATGTCAATGGTGCTTAAAAGTCAACCATATGCAATCTATCCAATTTTATTTAATCCGTATGAAAAGCCAAGTTATAAACAATCAGCTACTTATAGTAAGTTGATTTGACAAAAAAAAAGAATTACAAATCAGTAGTAGTGAAATGAGTAGCAAGTAATTTAGTTTAGTTTTATAAATGTTTCCACATGTATACTTTTCAAAGCTAAGATTGATTAGCATTTTCAATGATTTATTGATGCTATCTGACAGAAAAATTAATTCAAAATTCAACGGACTGGAAGTTGTGTCTTTATCTGAACACTGAATAATAATATTACATCATCAAAGATTTAGTGGTAGCATTTATTATGAGCAGAATCACCAAACAACTTTCAGATAATACTCTCGATTGCTAGTTGTACAAAGGGTTCAGCTTCAAGAAGTAATTTTTCCCTTCTTGTCTGTACTACTTATATACTTAAATATCAGTGTTTGTGAATAGTAACAAGTGTAATTTTCAGTAATTACAATGAGATAATCAGTCATTACACGAGTGACACAATTTATTCTGTGTTACTTCTTTGTTCGATACTAATTCTTAAGGATTTGTTACTTGTTACGTTTTCTGGATACTCAAACAGGCCTAATCATCATCAACTTAAATCGTTCTGTAGTACATCTATTTAAATGTAGCGGAACATAGTAGGAGATTTAAGTATACTGAACGATTCTTTTGCCAAGTGCTTAATTATATACATCTGTATATAAATATACGTATATTCACTGTTATTAAAGGAGGCACTCCATCGAATGCGAATCACGAAACTTGCACAAAGGATCATTCTTCAGAAGATAAGATAGAATCGGTAGACTATTCAACTAAACATTCTGACTCATTATGTTCAATGGAATCGAATGTACAAAAATCCCCGATAGTTACTAAAAGACCAATAACAACTGAGAACAAAACACAAATTGACAAAAAACCATTATTTAAAACAATTAAAAAACAATTACAATCTAGAAGTGAAGTAGGAAATAATTGGTTATTAACATCAAAAATCAATTTAATTCCAAGAGTAAGTTAAACTGTAGAGAAAAACATGTATAATTTCTCATTAACATTATTACATTTAACTTGAAACAATTAATGAGTAAACTTAATAAGTTTGATTGTTAAACTATTGTAGGTGGCTGATAATTATTCCTGTTTTATTTGTCTTTTTTGTGTGATCAGACTTTTAATTAAGTCACATTTAAAAAAATATCTAGTCTAGTTATTCAGAAACTTTTGATTTGTAGTACCTCACAGATTAAGTGCTTTAACACTCAGTATTGATGACATGAACTAGTAAATGGACACCACCATGATGATGAATTTATTCCTCGGAACATATGTCTTTTTAGTACCTCATATACACTTCAGAAAAGCACATCTAACATGTGAAAAGCAGAGAATTATTATTTGAACAAAATCGAATTCACCACGAAAGTTTTAAACCAATCTTAAATTCAATATGTAAATTGTTTTTTCTTTTAATTTAAACTAAGAATCGATCACTGTTAAATGACCATTAGAAACCTGGAGGTACTAGACGGCCGTCAATTTTTCGTATGGGACTCGACAATAGTGCGCATCCACAACTGGGAATAGAACCCAGGACATTCGGTCAAAAGCCTAATGCTCTATACGACTGAGCCGGTATCCGACCGTGTTAATATCTAATTTCAATCAATCCCTGATGTTTTCAGATTACTGTCTTGTTTGACTGACTTTAGATCACGCATGTGGTTGACCTAACATTATGTATTGATGTACTGAATTTATGTCATTGTGTTTATTGATTATCTGTTGATGCCAATGCGAAGAAGCTAGAATTCCTCCAGTATCCCAAGAATTACTTGGTGGTGTAGCCTAGAAAGATAAAATTAATTAAGTCTTCTAAAAAAAAATTTACATTGCAGAAGCTTCAGATCTTATGACCAATGCATTTACAGAGAAATTTAAAACGCCACTTGAACTCATTCGATAAATATTAAAATAATTACAAAGTAATTATTCTAAAGTGAATAATCTGACTGAAGACTGCAATAAATTTACGTTACATTGAAAGTGGTTCGTTTAAATCGATTTAATAAATTCTACTTTGTTAAGTGTTGCTTATATTCACAATTCTTATTCTCAACTAATGATTTAATGAAAATCCTACCATAATAAATAAAAAAAAACTTACTTTTCAGCCAGTGATTTCATCTCATAAACCAGTGATACCAACTCCAAACATGGATTTATTTCAAGTGAATGATTTCGATACAAGTAGAAGTTGTTACACTTCTACAACAACTCGATCAATTTCACAGAAGCAATCAATTAATAAAAGACCATATTCAGTTGGATCGGTAAGTTGGTTGGTTGGTTCGTTGTTTTTTTTTGAGTTTACATTAATTATGTGATCGATAACCACATACTGTCAAGTTTCAAATATGTAAGATACTCTAAAAAAAAGTGAACTGAATAGGTATTAACATCTGATTTCAGTACTTGATCAGTGAAAAAATTAACAGACAGATAATATAATTAGTAATTACATGAAATATGCACATGCAGTTAACGAAATCAAAGCTGTTTCCCCTAACTTTAACTTTAAATCCATTTTCGTGGTTTATAGAATCCTGAAGAATCTATTGTTTGAACCTCTGAATGAAACTGTACAAAGTACATTTATTATGAAATTATGAAACGTGAAGTTGTAGTTAATTTGAAACTTCAAATATTTATTAACTTTTAATCAAAATAATTTCCTATAGTTATACATTTCCGATCATTTATCAGTTTTGTTATGTTGTATAATGGGCTATCCTTAAGCATACAACTATAGGAAACTGTTTCATTTTAGTATGAGACTCTTCAATATTACCTGTTCACGACCGCATCAGGGTTCGAGCCAAGCACCTTCAGATGAGCATGTAGTTTGCAGATCACTGAGTAGGGATAGAATTGTTTTTATTCCTAACTTTAACCGATATGCCAATTTCACGCTACAACCATTGATTGCTATCAGTCGTATTGATTTCATGCTCATCAGAACTCCGGAAATTACTTCTAAAAATTACTATTAACTGATGAGTTTCTAGTACTGAAGTCTTGGAGGTCGCATAGTTTTGTAATCTTACTTCGTAGACTATCTTTGGTCATTGCATTGCACAATACAATTTTTCGGAACTATTTGAGTACTCTAGGAAATTCACCCATATGATGTTCCACGAGTTCTTGCCCGTAATTAAATTATGTTGACAAAACGGTTTGAATTATTTTTTTTCTGGTTAGCGTCTTTTTCAGCGAGTTACTTTTCTGTGAAACTGGATCGCTAACCCCATAACCAATCCTCTTCCTTTAGCCGGTCTTGGGACCGGCAGTAGCCCTAGAAGGACTTTAGGCAGAGTTACGCTGACAGAAAGACTAAGCAAAATCTTGAAGTTAAGTCTGGCGATAGCTCCGTAAGCTGACTCTGATAAAAAACAGCTTAATCCCATTGAACTCGGTTCTATGCATGTTCGAACAGATTCAGAAAGTATATTTGTCTAATTTATTGTCAGCAAAAGCCTAACCAGAAAATATTAAGAAGAGCACATATGCTTAAAACCCTTATTGAATGATAGCATTACACTTTGGCATATACGGAGGTCCGAGAAATAATTTTTATCTGCGTAAATTCTGACGGAAATTTTTTTTCTATGTCTATAACGTTCCGACATAATAGACAGTAAAAAATTAACCCTCCTGTTTAAAGTAATGGTTTAAACTATCGTGATTGAAATTATAGTACTGACAAGCTTTATGTTTAGCGCACATTCTATCTACTTCAGTAAAATCAAATCTCTAAAGACTGAACATAATCTATCTGTGCAAAATTGTGTTGTATGTCTTTCTTGGTCAATCTTTTCCATTAATTCCCAACAACTATTATTAAAATTTGCAAATAGCAAATATGACGTATAATGGTAGTAACTATTGATAGGAACATTTTTATGATTAGAAATTTTAATTAGTGGAGTAATTTCCTTTAACGTCTTCATTTCTGCTGAGATGTCCAAAATAAAATTCTAACAATTCGGCTTTTTAGATCATATTGTATAGACTAGTGAATGTAGTCATTAATCAAGTTTATACTGTTTATCATTTTGATTTGTAGACTAATTCAAAACTTTCAAATCAGATTGATTCAGAAAATGACACTAATAAAACAGCTGCTTATAGTTCGTATAGCAGTCGTAAACCATTCCAATGTTTACCTGAAAAAACTAATACGGGAACGAAAAAAAATCGACCAAGTAGTGCTCCATGCATTGTAAGTAATTACTAGTAGCTTGTTTTCTGCATTTAAATCATGAATCAATCGTTGTTAGACAATAGTTAAAAACCTGGAAGCATTGGAATGCCGTTTTGTCTCGGTGTGAGACACCAGCAGTACGCAGTCATGACCACAGCAATTCGTAGGATTCAAAACTAGGACCTACAGTGTCGCGCGTCAACGCCTAACTTCTTGACCATCGGGACACTATAAAACGGTGATAATATCTGACTTTGATCGATCCACGGTCTTACGCATCCTCACCCACTGTCTTCGATGAGCACTGCTTTACACCCTAACAGAGGTGAAGTCCACTGGTCACGTCTTCTCACTAGAACTCCGAGAATTTCCTCACAAAGCTAGTCACTAGTTAGCACACTTCGGTTGTTTTTTCATATGAATATAAATTTATTCGATATCCGAAAGGGTTCCTAATAATTATCCACCTAAACTTCTTTCTCTATTTCTCGGCGTAAGGTATTCTTTGGCCTTCCTCTTTTCCTTTTGCCCTGAGGGTTCCATGTGAAGGCTTGTCTCGTGATACAGTTAGGTGCTTTTCGTAGTGTCTGTCCTATCCACTTCCAGCACTTCTTCTTGATCTCCTTCTCCAATGGAATCTGGTTTGTTTTCTCCCACAATACGTTGTTGCTAATGGTATTTGGCCAACGAATCCGAAGTATTTTGCGTAGACTACTGTTAATAAACACTTGTATCTTCTGGATGATGACTTTCGTAGTTCTCCATGTTTCCGCTCCATACAGTAGAACTGTCTTCACATTTGTATTGAGAATCCTGATTTTGGTTTTGGTTGAAAGTTGTTTGGAGTTCCAGATATTTTTCAACTGTAGAAATGCATCCCTTGATCTGTCAATCCGTGCCCTCACATCTGCGTCCGATCCACCTTTCTCGTCGATGATGCTGCCCAGATATGTAAAGTTGTTAACGTCCTCGAAAGCATCTCCATCAAGAGTGATTTGGTTGGTGCATGTTGTGTTGCATCGGAGAATTTTGCTTTTTCCTTTATGTATGTTGAGACCCACTGCTGCAGAGGCTGCTGCTACACTGGTCGTCTTCTCTTGCATTTGTTGTTGAGTGTGCGATAGAAGAGCCAAGTCATCTGCGAAGTCCAGGTCGTCCAGCTGCGTCCTAACTGTCCAGTTGATACCGTGCTTCCCTCCAGACGTCGACGTTTTCATAATCCAGTCGATGACCAGGAGAAAGAGAAAGGGTGAGAGTAAGCAACCTTGCCTCACACCGGTCTTCACCTCAAAAGAGTCTGTTAGCTGTCCTTCGTGTACGATTTTGCAGTTGAATCCATCATAAGAATTCCGTATGATGTTAACTATCTTCTCAGGCACACCGTAGTGTCGAAGAAGCCTCCACAGTGTTTTCCTATCCACGCTATCGAATGCCTTCTCGTAGTCGATGAAGTTGATGTAGAGTGGTGAGTTCCATTCAATTGATTGTTCCACAATGATCCGTAATGTAGCAATTTGGTCAGTACACGATCGATCCTTACGAAATCCGGCCTGTTGATCTCGAAGTTGGGCGTCTACGAAGTCCTTCATTCTGTTTAACAATACTCTGTTGAAGACTTTGCCTGGTATTGAAAGAAGAGTGATGCCTCTGTAGTTCTCACACTTGCTGAGGTCGCCTTTCTTTGGTATTTTGATCAGGTATCCTTCCTTCCAGTCTGATGGTACTTGTTCCTCATCCCAAATCTTCTTGAAGAGGATGTGAAATCTTTTCGCAGTTGCTTCTACATCTGCTTTCATTGCCTCTGCTGGAATGTTGTCTGGTCCTGCTGCTTTGCCGCTCTTGATTTGTCTGATGGCCATACTGATCTCCTCAATCGTAGGTGAGCCAATATTAATTGGGAGGTCCTTGGATGCTGCTTCGATGTTGGGTGGGTTCAGTGGAGCTGGTCGATTCAGGAGTTCCTTAAAGTGCTCTACCCACCTATTTCGCTGTTCGTCAGTGTTGCTGATTATTTTCCCTTCCTTGCTTTTCACTGGTCGTTCTGGTTTACGATAGTTCCCGGCGAGCTTCTTTGTTGTTTCGTACAATTGTCTCATGTTTCCTTCTCTTGCAGCCTTTTCCGCCGTCATTGCTAGATCTTCCACATATTTTCGTTTGTCAGCTCTGATGCTCTTCTTCACTCCCCTGTTTGCTTTTGTGTATGCAGCTTGTGCGGTAACTTTCTCCGCTCTTGTTCGGCTGATATTGATTACTGCCTTCTTGTTCCTCCTTTCTTCAATTTTTGCGAGAGTATCAACAGAGATCCATTCCTTGTGATGGTACTTCTTGTGACCCAGAACTTCGTGACATGTTGAAGTGATTGCCTCCTTAATCCCTTTCCAATTGTTCTCCAACGTTGTGTCCTCTCCATTGTGTAGATCCTGAAAGGCCTGGAACCTATTGGTGAGGGCTATCCTGAATTCATTGAGCTTTACAGTATCCCGAAGAAAGGCCGTATTAAACTTGTGTGATGTTGTCTGCCCCGTTGTCCAGTGCTTCTTGAGTTTCAGTTTCATTTTGGCTATTAGCAAATGGTGATCTGAGGCTATGTCAGCTCCTCTCCTGGTTCTCACATCCTCCATAGTCCTTCTGAACGTTTTGTTGATACAGATATGATCAATCTGGTTTTGAGTAGTGTGTTCCGGTGAAATCCATGTAGATTTGTGTATGCGCTTGTGTGGGAATATTGTGCCACCGATGACCAGTTTGTTGAAGGCACATAGGTTTGCAAATCTCTCACCATTTTCGTTTCTTTCTCCCAGTCCATGTCGTCCCATGATGTCTTCATATCCAGTGTTGTCCATTCCAACCTTGGCATTCAGGTCTCCCATAAGAATCGTCAAATCCTTTGGTGAACATTTCTCGACGATTGACTGCAGCCTTTCGTAGAATTGATCTTTAACGTCGTCATTGTAGTCATTGGTAGGTGCATAACATTGGATGACGTTCATTGTAATGTGCTGTTTCTTTGTTTTGAAGGATGCTTTAATGATCCTGGGTCCATGAGATTCCCATCCTTGTTTGGACAGCATCAGTGCAACTCCTTGTGTATGTGAAGCATTTTCCTCTTCATGACCAGAGTATAACAGCAGTTTCCCTGAAGCTAGTCTCAGTTGTCCTACTTGTGTCCAATGTGTTTCACTGATTCCAAGCACCTCGAGGTTGTATCTTTTCATTTCTGCCGCAACTTGAAATAGTCTTCCAGTCTCCCACAATGTAAGAACGTTCCATGTACCTAAACACACGGGTGCTCTGGTTGTCAGAAGAGGCATCGGCCCCGTGACTTCCGAGGGAACTCGGCTTTCATCGCGCGACGTCATAATTCTTCTTCCAACTCCCAGGGCAGAGTTAAAATGGTTTGAATTATTTTTTCTGGTTAGCGTTTTTTTGGCAAGTTAGTTTTTGACGGAATGGGGTCGCCAACCCCATGTCCAACCGTCCTCCTTTACCCGGGCTTGGGACCGGCAGTAGCCCCGAAGGTTCTACTGGCGGAGTTCTAAAAATTATAGAATTTCCAATATTCAGAGACAATCATTTTCAAAAGTTTGTTTGTGTATTAAGGAGAGCAAGCTAGGGGATTAATGGAATAACAGTAAAATTATAATACACAATTGGTACCATGGAGTTGGAGATATCATATAGATCGGAAAAATGACTTTGAATTTTTTTCTGGAAATACAAAGTTGAATTCAAGTGAGTGACCTCCACCTGAGGTTAACTTTGATGGTGAAAAGAACTGCAGTAAGAACTCATCGCTCAAATCATCTATGATATGCTCACTAGTGATTTGCTTTGAGAGAAAATTTACAGAGTTCCAATAAAAAACCGTCACCAGTCGAGTTCAACCATCTTGGATGTGGGGAAAGTACTTCTTGAAATTAATAGCAATAATGCAGATCAATTAAATTTAAACATCACACCAGTGGATTTCAGATGAGACCAGAAGGTCTTACGTTGGACTTCCGGTTAAAGAGTTATGAATGAGAACTGTTGAGGTCACCCATGCCAGGAGGAAACATCTGTGCAGTGCAATAAATTACTATGTTTGTCTAATTTAGGTCAGTTTATGATCTCAAAAAACCATCTAGTTCGGAAAAATGGTTTACTTCTGTTTGGGTTAAATAGCCTTCTTTTAAATGAAGAAAATTCATGTTTGTCTGAAAATACTTCAATCATCATAACCTCATTTTCACATCCCTATTTAAGACGGAGTTGAATTTTGTTGAGGTGCGGAAGCAAGATAATACACACAACTTTGAATGCGCTGCATTACTAATAAACATCTAAACAAATAGGTGCCTTATCAAATGCATCATTATTTTATTATTATTGTGAAATGTTTTTTTCTATTTCATTTTACGAAATCAACAATTGAATTCATTTTATTTACAGCTGTATACTACTTATTAGTAGCTAAACGAACAGCTTAAAAGTTTCCCATTTCAGATATTTTTAAATTGTTGCCTTAAATTGTTTTAGTTGGAAGAAAACGATAAAGCTGCCCCAGCTATTTCTGAATTAGACAACACTACAATAAATGCTAGCTTTACTAGTCGACAGTCACCGACATCCCAATCAGATCAAAAATTGTCAGATCAAACAGTTAACAGAGAGGAAGAAAAATCAGACCAAAACACTATGAATTCCCCAGTGCTGTTTGATAAGAAGTTATTAAAAGAATGTAGAATTATATTAGAAGATCAATATGATCAAGCTTTAAGACGTTATGGATGGCGAATGGAAGTACACAATGATCCACTTAATTTGAAGTAAGAATTTATTTGAAATTAGTGTTGATCACTGTCAACTAATTTGTGGCATATGATCATTATGTAACACCTAGTAGATGATATATATGTCACGTTAGTATATTGGTTTCTGTTGGGTCACAAAATGAATCAGTTTAAGTAATATTCATCTGACACTTTCAGTGCTACAAATCATTAATCCAATTTTGCTCGTGTTCACTTGTTCTACTCTCCTATACTTATCATAAGCTTTTCTCTTTTTGCGATTAGATGAGTTGAAGATTCGTGTAATATCTGTACCAACACATCTGGGTTTGAGAGAGAAGCACTAAGATCTAACATACGAATGATATATTTTATTAACCCAGTCAATAATGGTCGGGTATAGTTATTTCATTGCTTTACATAATAACTCAAAGGTGTTTACCAGGATTCCGAAGAAGAATGTATGGTTTAAACTTTCATATTGTAATTAACGAAACATTTAATTTTAATAATTTACTATGCTGTAGCGCATTTGACAGTGATTGAATTAAATCTACTTAAAAGGTAATGTATTTTGATCATCAATATCAAGCTTTAAAATTTTTTTGTACTGTGAGCTGAAGTAATTTATTCTTTAGCTGTTTGACATATTTTGCTTAATTTGATAATCGCTGTCGTAGTGTGTCTCATATTAATCATGTGACCCTATAAACCACTATAAAGTAATAAACAAGACTTTAGCCAAATGATATCAAGTAATTACATTTTTTAAATTTTTGTTCATTTTAGATCAAAACTATTACCTAAACGATTATCATACTCAGTTAAATTGAATCTACAACCAGTTTTACCTCAACCACCGAAAATGAAAAAACAAAACATTGAAACATTCTTTCAACCAACTATTAAAATTCCATTACCAAGTTTCACTATCAGTCCAGATTTCACTTCAGAATGTTATAATGCACATAGAAATTATTTAACTAAAAAAGGTCTTTGGAATTATGCTACACGTAGTTATTCATTTGCATATTAAATTACTGTATCATGGTAATAAAATATTATCATCATCATTATAAATATACATTTTAATTTACTATGAACGTATTACTCAAGTATGTAGAATAGGCTGCGTTTATGATATACACGTAATGTAGTTAGTTAGGTTCATGCGGAAGGAGATATTGTTGCATTGAATTAAAGTGAAGGTTACATAATATAAACCGGTGCAGATCAACGAATATAAAACTATTAAAAGTATTCTAGTTAACAATTCTCCATTACAATGCAGGAAGTATTCTACTGTTCATTCAAAGTAGTCTGATTACAAATAATCAAATAACTTTATTATGTATAGATATTCAAGATTAAATAATAACTCATTTAAATAAGCTAAATGGCTTGAGCTACAGTGAGGAGCTTTTTTTAAAATCGAACTGCTTACTCATTAAATAGGAATATTTTTGAAAGTGCAACAAATCTCATCCTTTTTAAGTATCCTGTAGTTATCACCTTTTTCATATAAAAACTGTTAAATTATCCCTACTAGCGTATATGTATTTGCCTACAAATATTTTCACCCTAGAAGGTGGGTCAATATTAACGTTTAGACTAATTATCACCTCAACATTTCAAAGCATACACAACAAACCTAAAAACTTCTATAGTAGGGTTAATTAATTTAGTTTAAACCATTTTCTACTTAAACTTAAAGTAACGCCATGTCCATTGCATATTCATCTTCGAAAGATGTTTCCATTAAAATTGAGTGGCATTAACTCTATTCACATGGAAGATAACATGCTATAAAGAAAACAGACGATCTTGTCTAACTTCCGTGTTGCTTCGGTATAAAGGTAAAATGAGGTTGCATACATTTTTAAGTAATATTCGATAAAGGGAAAATAAAGCTTACATCTAACAAAACTCAAAATCGTTTTATGATTTGAACTCAACTTGAAGGTGCTTAGTCATTCTGTAGTTGGTAAAGACATCAAAAATGAGTTTAAAACATTAGTTATTTCCTTGTTTTAATCAAACATTGGAGTGCCTTTTAATTTTGTTGCATTTAAATAAGTTCTATGCTGAAAGAAACTATAAAAGTAAGTCTTGATCCATCAGGGTACCAACCAAGTACCTGTGTGGTTGCGTCACAGGATTGAGCACTAGTGTTCAGGTTTCAGAGTTAACACTTGAACAGGGTCTGGTTTTCTTGAAAGCCATTGTAAAGCTACTGTTGTCGATTGAGGGTAAATTTATAAGATAAGAAATAATAATAAATGAAACGTTTTGTGTAATCTACAGATATTTTATTGATACTATATCTAGAAGTATTCAATTTTAACGATTCTTAAATCAGTGATGCGATATTATGTGCGTTTTGTACCGACGAGTTTCAACGAATTTCATATAAACAGGAAAGTAAGAATTTCAGTGGTACTATTTGAATGTCAAATAGTATAAAAAATCTTCAGAAATTGTTAATTTCATCACTGATAATCAGATGGTAAAGAAAATTTCTAGATCAGGTGGATGATTGTGGTGGAGGTTCGTTCTCTGAGCTGAATTTTTTGGTTGTGGGGCTTTCATTGTTCTTCTGAACAACATCATCAGCAAAAACTTTACTTCTGTTTGATGGTTTCATCTAGTGTAATGTTATTTAGGTATAAAATATCTGTGGATCATTAACGTAGTTTGCTGTATATGACGAGTTCATTTAACTGGGATATCATTACATTTGAAGATGTAATATTTTCTGTTGGTAATGAATTATTGGGAGTAATGTTAAGTAATAATAAAATAAAAAATGAATAAGATTTTGATCAAGATGAAATCACTGAAATCATGCATGATTCAGTCATTGTTAGACCACTAAGGGAAACTCATAAGCATTACACATCAACGACTCCAGCTACTCGCAGGATTTTAACCCGGGACCTTCGGTCTTCCGCGTGAACGTCTAAACTCCAAACCACTGGGCCGGCATCCAACGGTGTTAATGACCTCACCCATTAGTCTTCGGTAGTTGCTGCCTACACTCGGCAGGGTTGAACTCCACTGGTCGTGTCTTCTCACTAGTACTCCGAGAATTTCCTCACTTAGCTGATCACTAGTGAGTACATTGTACGATTTTTTCAATTAGAGTAATGGAGATTGTAGTCTATTGCTGAAATCATGTTTAGTTCCTGATTTCATTATGAAACAACATTCTCCATTACTGTAATTGAAGAATCAGATGAAATCATTTATTACAGCTGTACATAAAAGTTTATAGTACAGAATAAATATGTGTCAATCAGTGATTGATCTGTAATTTGAAGAACCAAAAAGTAGGTTGCCTGTTGATCTGCAGATTAATGAAAAATAGGATGATAAAAGTAATTTATCAAAGAAAAAAAACATGCAAAATAATTGTCCACTTGACACATATGAAGAAGGAATAAAAAGCATAACGATCAGCTTAACAGTAAAATTATCAGTAAGAACAATTGCAAGTGGGTAAGAATAATTGATTACGGAATAAAAAGGAAAATTAAATAATGAAAATATAATGATATCAAATAAAATCAACACATGAAATAAAGAGTTATTAGAGACATAGAAGTGTGAAAGAAAGCATTTGTTGCTTTTGGGTGCATAGTTCAGCATTGTTCAACATATCAGTGACACATGAGTTTTTAAATCAAATTCTATTTGATTCCACTCTATAGATCAATTTGAAGGACAATTAGGATGGGGCCATATGCACAGATGATATGAGATGTTACTTTATTAAGGGACAGATGGCTTTGCATTCTACTTTTCAAAGTCTCACTAGATGATTTTCTGAGATTCATTTGAAATGTGTTTACTTTGTGTGGCTAGCATATCTCGTCTCGCAAGAGGAAATTTACTTATAGACGAACACAGATTTCACCCAAACAGGAACAATTATCCCGAACACGTCCGTGAATGGTACGACGGTTCAAGAAGACAATGCGAGGCTCAACTGAGTAGAAGGCTCGTTTGTTCGATATTGACGCAATAGTATCGCATTTAAAGTCAATGTGCATAGACAGAGTTTTCTTTTGAACTGTCCATGATCTTTCACGTCGTTGATTTCGTATCAAGTTTCTATCAATGAATCTAAGTGAATACGCGAATTCCAAGGGATAAAGAGCGAATTTGATCTCGCTTTCTATTCAGTGGGACTGAGGTTTGGAAATGCTATTATCTGCCATTTCAACTCAATTTTCTGTTTATAGATGTCCGTTCAATGTTGGGTGGGGTCAGTGGAGCTGGTCGATTCAAGAGTTTCTTAAAGTGCTCTACCCAACTATTTCGCTGTTCTTCAGTGTTGCTGATTTTTCAACACATACTTTTCTTTAATTCGGTAATAACGGAATTGCTATTATCCAAGTTATTAGGAATTTTCCAAGGCTTGTGACTAGTCCAGATACGAGTGTTCATCTCTCTGCTACAAATATTACGTATTGTTTAAGGAGTATATAAGTAACTAACTACTTTTTTCTGAAGGCACATGCTGTTGTAATGCAAAGATCAACCGGGCCTAATTGATTTTGTCAATTAAATGAACAATAATGTGAATTCAATAAAATAACTCGATGTCATTCAACAAAACAATTAAACATTCTATTCAGACAAAAATTGCAAGTCCAATGCATAATTTCGTTTGCTTTAATTTTTTGTAACGAACAAATTCTTGAAAATAATAAGTGTGATGTATATTGTTTAGCTATTTTAAAATATGGGTAATTAATATGAATAGTTCGTCTAGTTTTCACTTTAGGCTACATTTAAATTGAATTCTTAAAATTTTAATTTATTTGTTCAAAAATTATTTTGATCAAAAGCAATGCGGAAAATTAGTAAGTTTTAAATATTTGTAGTTAATGTGCATTTTATTACTATCGGGAAAAAACTTCAAAAGGAATTTTCATAGATGTAGTTTTACCGATGCAGTCATGCAGTTTTTTCATTATGTAGTATGTACTAAATATGTTGAGCCACATGTGGCTTGTCCCCAGGCCTTCAGCAAATTGACGAATCCATTATTTTCGAGTTATTATTCACACATCTTTCGACCTTGTCTATGGTTCGCTTGTACTCTTGGTTGTTTCTATTTGTGTGTGTGTGTCACGACATATGTAGCTTATTTTTGCCTGACTATAATAGATAGCTAGTCATACCTCCTTATCATATTGAGTCGGTTAATTCCTCTTCTCCACCTGGCTTCGCTTTGCTTTTACGCTTCTTATTCTCACTTCTGTCTGCGTGAACGATTGCATGAAATAAACTCATCCAACCGTCTCACTATCCGTATTCATCTAAGTATGATTTAAAGGAAGATTTACATAATAGCATATTCAGTAGTTCATCTCAATTGGAGTCAGGTAGTGAGCCCCTAGAGGTAAGTACATTGTAAAATACTAAATTTGTTACCATAAATTGTTGTAAGAGAAATCGTTAGGTAAGGTGAGAAAACAAAAATATAAAACTTCAGTAACTAGTTTTTTCATGAATTATTTTGTATGTACACTTTTAATCTGTATTTACTGAAAAATTGTCTTATAAGTCTTTTGTACATAATAATTATTAATAATATTGCTATAATCACCAGAAATCTCTTTATAATAATAAAAATCAAGTATGCCCCAACCAAATCATACTTGATGGAAAAGTTTTGGAAGATCTAAAAACCTTCACATATCTGGGCAACAAAATTGATGAGCAAGGTGGATCTGATGTAGATGTGACGGACGAAGCAAGGACAACATTTCAACAAGTGGAGAACAAACGGAACTCAAAACAGCTATCAACCAACAAACACCAAAGTCACAATTTTCAATACAAATGTTAAGACAGCTCTACACTATGGGACGGGAACTTGGAAAACTACGAAAGCCACCATCCAGAAGATACAAATGTTTAGTAAGAGTTGTCTTAGCAAAATACTTCGGAGCTGTTGGCCAGAGATCATCGGCAATAACCTACTGTAGATGGGAACAAGCCCAGATTCCAGCGGAAAAAGAAATCAGGAAGAAGCGCCTAAGGAGGATAGGACACATTAAATGGAAAGCGCACTAGAGAGTCACAA